TCATCTCCAACAAAATAATAGTAAGTTATACCAAGAGTCGTTTTCCCTTCCTCTTTCTGTGTTTCTTTTTCATCCTTCTCTCTAATGAAGCCTTTATAACCTTTAAAATTGACTTGGAGAGGTTGTTGGAGCCGGGCCATCGCTTCTTTTCAATCTGCTCTACTTTTTTTATTATTCACGTCCAGAAAATAATTAAAATCCTTCTCAGGGGGGATACTGTCCGTTTCTATCTTCCGACCTTCAATTATGTAGGGAAAAAATTTTCTAGGCAACTTTCCTCTATGTTTATACTTCGGCATTATTTTTTCTTTGGCTTGATAATACCATTTATCTATTCAGGGTTTCAATTGCTCTGTGATTGCTTTTTCCTCGGTTTTGGAAATGTCCCAAATGGCTTGAAATTTTTGCTGTCTTTTCAATTTCTCCGTGCTCCGATTAATGGATGATGCTTTAGTTTTTGCCCGAACCAAGGCTTTTCCTTGCTCGTAAAAAAGTTGGTAAAATTCAGAAATAAAAGCAGGGTTGGTTTTTGCTAATTCTGATAAATTTTGTTCTTGTAGTACTTCATCCATACTCATATCAACACTTTCCAACTCCTTGCGAACTTCGGTCTTTTCCGCCTCGGTCAATCTTTTACTCTTCATTTTGTCGTCTAAAAATCTCTTTGTCGTCTTTAAGCGGCTGCGATTGCCAAGTATTAATTGTTTGAGATCGTCTGCGGTGGGAGTGTCGGTTCATTTTCCCAATTCGCGTTCATAATCGTAATTTCACTTAGGCTTTTTGTGATTTTGTCATCACCAATACCCTAATGCACCAATTAGTAGAGCCACCAGTAAAATTAAAAGGATATAAATTAATGTATTGTCGCTTTGTTGGCTATTTTTTTGAGAACTCGAACCAGTGCTTTTCATATAAATTATTTAAGTAATTTTTGACCTCAGAGCGGTTTATTCTTATCTGTTCCATGCTGTCGCGGTGGCGGCAAGTAAGAGTATTATAGTGGGATGAATTAGGGTCCACGGTG